GTTTTTATCATTACATGCGGGTTGATTATAAATCTCCATGCTCGGATATACTTCAAATTTAGGTATGACATCCAGTTCCCTTTCCACAGACTCCTGTTCCTCGCTATCGCAATATTTCTATATAATAAAAAAATATTATATTTAAAAATATTTTGGTTAAAAAATTGTCTACTATAAAATTAAATAAATACAGAATATGCCTTTTTAATAAATAAAATGTCTAAGAAAGCAATATAAAATGAGTCTCCAAGTAGTTAACAAGTAGTTTTAAAAACCTATAATCTTATCATTAATATTGATTATGTGTAAAGATAAGATTAAAGATTTTTTTTGTAAAACTCATTTCGTTTTGCTTTCATAGATAATATCTTGTGATTATCTTATTATATTTATAATTTATATAAAAAATGCATTAAATCCAAATAAACACAAACTCATAAATAGTCATATTTACATATTTGTGATAAATACAGAACTATGGGAAATGTTATTTTACCTTTAACTCTGACATACTGTAGATGTCAAAGATTAAAATGGATAAATTCATATAAAATATTACAAAATTCTAAATTTATGATGTCATTTTTAAATTAAATCAAATCAGTAAAAAATATTTCGGGGACAGTCCCTGATGGTTCCAAAATTTTGTAAAATTCAGTAATAATTTATATTCTTGTTTACAGTTTTTTAATATTAAATTGTACTGTAATAAACAATTTTAACTTTTACAGCAGTACTTATAAATATTACATATTACCATAACATACCTTGTAATTATTTTTATAACAACCAAGCAAGTCCCACATTATGCAGCAATAGTATTGATCATTCATTGAATACTTCCCTGATACTTTGCATTGTGTTAATTTATGCAAGCAAGTTACTGCCTCAGGGTCTATGTGACTGACTATTTCACTTATACCCTCATCAGTAGATACTGGGTACATTATTATAACTAATATAAAATATGTAAAAAATATAAACATTGTAAAATTATATAAAGTAGATTTCAGTATAACTTTTAAAATTACAATAAAATTATATCGTTGTGATTATACAGTATAATAAATATTTTTAAACTACATTTTAATTTAAATAAATTTTAAATAAATATTAATGATCTGTGTGTGATAAGATTATCACATTAATAATGATTTTAGAAAGTTAATTATCCGTGACATTTTATAATATTATATTTTATTATGAATAATTTCAAATTAAACAAAATTCTACATTAAAAATGTAGTTTATAATGATAGTGTAGTTTTAAATGTTATTAAATAGAGATTTAAAAATGAATAAAGCTAATAATTGTTTATGATATAAATAATCCCTAAACTTGAAATATCAATTATATATATTTTAGTTTAAAAGTAATTTAATAAATTTTTACAAAACATTTTCTAATAATTGTAATTTAAAATTATTTTTTATTTACTCTTAAATTGCTATGTTAAATTATGCATAGTGATGATTATAACTATTATTATTTAATTAGTATATAATCCGTAACATTTCAAAGCAATTACTGATTTAATTTAAAAAGGTTTTAAGGACATACTTTGAAAATTATTTATGCATTTATTAAATACAAATTAAACCTACTTATTTGCACAAACATCTTATGATGATAGGTAAAAATATTTAATAAAAATCAATAAAATTGTACTTTAATAAATACAATAAAATCTTTTATAAGTAAATAAAAAAATAAAATTGCATTTCTGTTTAAAATATATTTATTTTGTAAATAAAACATAAATTTAAAATATACATTGATAATTTTTTATATTAATTAAAAATATCAATAAACTTGTTTTTAGAAACAACTGTAAATATATTTCAAATTTAACTTTCTTTTAATTAAATTATTTTATTCATTTTATTATGGGACATGATGCCATATCGTAATAATTAAATAAACTATTTCAATTCAAATAAATTTAATTTTAAACTTGAAATATGATATAATAAACATTAAATATACAATATATTTAATAAAATTTCATATTACATATAAAATTTAATTATGTATTTAAACAATTAAAGCAAGTTTAAAATAATCACCATATTATGTTGGTATAAAATGTCATTTTACAATAATAACTCAACCATAGCAATTGCATCTAAAACCACCCATGTCACAATAACCACCCCGGAACTATTATAAAAAACATTACATTTAATTAAAATAATTATACAAAAGTAAAAGTAAAAATAAATTACCTTGTTATCTTTGCAATGTCGATCGCACTCGTATCTATCGCTACCAATGGGACCCTTACATCCAAACCCTCGCTTAGCCCTTGCGATACCTGTCTGTCCACTGATGGACACCGTATGGCCCAGTAGTGCCAATACGACTAGTAATACGGCAATTGTGTTCACTTTATTGGCAAACATTTTGAATTGTATTTAAAATATTCAATACTCATGGCTAACAAAATGAGTCGTATTTATACCTTGATACTAAAATCCTGTTTATCATAAATGTGATAAATAATAAACATTTTGTACCAAAAATATTCCATAAAACAGTTATTTATTATGAGGATTATAGTTAAAAATATTTTTAAACAATTAATTTTACAAAATAAATTTTATATATATAGACATGTTTAGTTATAAAAATAGATTTCAAGTTAAAAATATTTTACGTAATGTGTCTGGTAAACAATAACATAATTAATTTTATTTATCTGAACAAAGTGCATTAGTACATAATAATTAATTAGATGTTATTCACTATAAATTACAATCATTAATTATAAATATACCTTTAACAATTATTATTTGTGTTTATTATGATAAATATAGTAGATTTTTTACCGTATTAATTAATTATATACTTTAGAAAAAAATTATTTTTGTGTTTCAATAAAGCCATTATTACATTATAATAAAATATTCATAAAGTATCAAAATTATTAATATCATGTACAGTTTATTAACAATTGCGTGCTCTGTACGTAAATACAGTATAACAAAATAATTAATTACTAATGATATAATGCAATATAATAGCTGCAAAAATCTGCAATAATCTAACCAGCTATATCGGTTAGATCGGTAACACCGGCAACACCAGCTACACAGGCTACAATATAATTTAATAATTTTATTCATATGAATGATTATTGTTTATGATAATGAGTTTGAAATATATTTTTAAAATAGACTATTTATAAGCATTAAAATAACTGACCGTTTTCAATTTAAAATGCACCATATAATATATGGGTGAGATTGTGCTGTAGTGAGCTATGTATCACAAGATGTAAACTGTAATCAATGCATAAATCATTTAATAGATTATCCGATCGTGAATATAAATAAGAATTTATTTAATTTTCTATAATAAATGTTTATTAAATATAAATATTTAATTAAAAATATGATTATTAACTAAATCTAAATTATAAAACGCTAAAATATATCAAGTATTTAAGTTTTAATTAGCTACTAGCAAAAATTTACTTTTAAAAATACTCGGATTGTTACTGCATGGTGAGCCTCATATACATATTGTATATTTAATAATAATTTTTTGAAGTTTATATGAAAATATTAAAGTTTTATTAATTTAAACTCAATTGTTTAAGTACAGTAGTATAGGTCGTTATACTTTGTAATTACATTTTAAATAATTAATTTGTGACTATAAAAACATTGTAGTAGATATTAGTTAATATATTAAATATTTTCGTTAATATAATATATGAATATAATAATAAACTGTTAATTGACAACATGCTTAATCCAATCCACATACCAATAGTGCCACCAATGTTATAGTATAGGTCGTTGTAATCCATAGCCAATTGTTCAGTGATTTGTGGCTTATAGTAATTGTTAGGTATTAAATTGATCCTGGTATAATTCAAGTTAGATCTTACTTTTACCAAATTTGAATAGATCAAATTATTAACGCAAAACTTTTTTAATTCATCAAATGTCTCACATTTCGACTTTATTTCACTAACAATAGTCTCGTTCACAGAATCCGTATAATTCGCACAGAATTTATATCCAGAATATTGCAAATGCTGTTCAATACTAATACTATACTCGACGCCCATTAGTGGCAGACAATTGAATGTATTGTTGAGTTCACGGACAATACAATGATAACTATTTTTGTGTAAACGATTGCTTTTATAAAACAGTCGCTCATCCCATGAATTGTCATTTTCTCGGCACTGAAACGTACGGCGATTTAGCTGTCGATAGGATGTCGTACTGAAAGCAACGTTAGTTTCGCTAAAACTTTCAATGGTTAGTAATACTCGCGATTCAGTGGTCTCTACGCCGAGATATACCGCCCAATCGATGCCACGGCTCCTATACGTCAACACTATTCTCTCCAAACGGCTGTCAATTAGTCGTGATTTAAATGCTGCCATAAATTCATTGGTGATGTTTGCAAAATACACTTGCTGCAATCTTTCAGGTACAAATGGCCCGGATTTCCTGTTGAATAGCATACGATTCTCATGCTCGGGGCACTTTAATCTTGGTAATTTTGTGAATATTAAATAACAATCAATAGCTTTATAGTCAAACATAATACTGCGATAGAAAGTTAAATTGGTCGTGGACAATAATTTATGATTTAAGTTTGAATAAAATTCTGTTAATCCTAATTTACTCTTTGCATTCACCAAGTTTACAAGTTGTTGAAAATGTGCTGGATAATTAATGGACAATGCTGTTTTATCGCTCACAGTTGGATTTATAATTGCAGTGACCTGGGGCACACTTAAACTCGTTATGATATTCAATGAAAATTTGACATTATTTTTCAAATAATCTTGATAAATATTATTAACCTGATAAGACATTAACAAAACACATACAGTAAGTGTCGCATATTTAATATATTTTGAACAAAGTTTAAATTTATTAAAATCTATTTTCCATCTCTTAATCCTAATTAATCTCCAAATAATAACTCTAATGATATCCATAGTTGTCGTGACAATCGTATAGACACTGAATCCCATCCACATTCCCATGAGTCCACCCATTGTTGACAAATATACTATTAAATCCATTTTTGGGCTATAATTCCAGACCATGTTAACTATACTAGCATACATATGAATAATACCGCATGAAACATTTTGAATTTCATACATTAAATAATTAACACGAACATCTCTTAAATAATTATTGCACCCGATTTTGCACACTTTATACAACAATTTATAATCCGGTTTAACAACACACTCATCGATCGTATCGTTGATTATTTCATTTCTATACGTCTCTGACATCCAGTAGTGATTATATCCACACTTTTTGCGCTCAATTTGTTTCATCACTTCTAACATACAGTCGTCTCTGGATTTATAGCCACCCCTTCCCGGCATACGATTGCTTTCATAGTAGTAACAGTCTGTCCGATAAGGTCGGGGTAATAGTATTTGCATATCAGTGCTCACACCTAAACTATAGATCACAGACCTCTTAACTAATTTAGACATTTTAGTAAAATGTGAGGGACTGTATGGTAGGTGTAGTCCCACCGAAACCCCATCGATATCACTCACAGATACCGCGATAATTGAGTTGAAGTTCAGTAATAAATGTGCCCGATTATAATATTCATTCAAAAGCGTGAAACATATTCCTGAACCGTATCTATAGCTATAATAAATGGGTGCTAATTGGCTGCACGCATATGAATCCACTGAACACCCAATATCAATATACTCGAAGTACTCACGAAATGTCCGATTTTTATAAACAGAATATTCTTTATTCACGCAAACAGTGAGCGCATAGTTTTGGTGATAACCACCGGACTTGCGGTCAAACTTCAAGTCAGTGTTCACTTCGTACTCCAAGTAATTGACTGTTTGGTCGCATATTTGGTACACAAACCCCGATATTATGAATAATTTGAATAACAGCTTATAATTTAAATAATTCTTTCTTATAAACGAAATCATTTTATAAACAGGTTTTAAAAATATTTTCGTAATTTATTAATAAAATTTTTTTTTGTATAAAATAAGCATTTCCATTCATCAATATACAGTGTATATTATACACGCTTAAATAGGTGTTGTATTTATTGTTTATAACTCAAAAATATCATTATATATATTTTATAAATAATTAATATAATTATAGTATTAATAATGAATAAGTTAAATTAATTTTATACTAGTTACGAAATATATTTCTTTGATAAGAATTATTTTATCAATATAATTAATAATAAATATACTGTCCCAGAAAATAATTACCTGAATTAATTATTTATTTATTTTTATGAATTCAAAATGAAACAAAATAACCCCATTAATATTTTAGTTTTATTTAAGTAAAAACTATTTTATTAATATGTTAGATTTATTTAATAACAAAACAAATTAATAATTAATATTAAAAATTAGACTTTTGTTAGTACTGTACATTATGTTCATTATATTTTTAGTTATATTTTAAATTATTATTATTATTATAAACCTTGTTGGGCTATTTATATTTGTCAATGTCACATTTTGTTGCTAAATGTCATAAACATATAATAAAATAATAGAATATTCAAAGAATTGTTGAGAAAGTTATGAAAATCAGTTAAAATGTGAGTTATTATTGTATTTCGGGATATATTCCTGAATGAGCCAAATATATTACATATTAAAATTTTGTAAAATTCAATAATAATATGTATTTTTGTTTGCAGTTTTTTATTAAATGATAATAAAAGATTCTAATATTGCTAGCAGTACTTATTAATATTATATACTACCAAAACCACATACCTTGTAATTATTTTTATAACAATCAAGCAAGTCCCACATTTTGCAACAATAGTATTGAACATTTAATGAATACCTCCCTGATACTTTGCATTGTGTTAGTTTATGCAAGCAAGTTACTGCCTCAGGGTCGATGTGACTGATAATTTCACGTATACCCTCATCAGTAGATACAGGGTAAATTATTAAAACTAATATGAAAAATATAAAAACTATCAACATTATAAAAGTTATATAAAGTAGATCTCAATATAACTTTTAAAAACACAATAAAATTAGATTTTAATGTTTAATATTGTTATGATCATATTATAAATATTTTAATTTAAATAAAATGTTAATGATCCATGTGTCATAAGATTAACACATTAATAATGATCTTTTAATAAATTAATTATCCGTATCATTTTATAATTTTATATCTTAAAATGAATAATTTAGAATTTTAAAAAATACATTAAAAATGTAGTTTATTATAAGTTACAATTAAATGTTAATAAAAAATATTGTTAAAAGGATATTAATAGATATTAATTGTTTATAATATAAATAAACTGTAAACGTAAAATTGCAATTATATAAATTTTGTATAATATTTAATACAATAAATTTTGTTTAAACATTTATAAATAATTTTAATTTTAAAA